CTGTGAGCATGATGCCATAGCACTCTACCCAGGGGGATAGCTTGAGGCTCCGTTTCAAAAAAAAAAAAAACTTACCTGGCAGGGTTGGGACATTGAAGTGGCAATCAGTAGCTGAGATTCCATTCCAGGCTCTTCTCTTCACAAAATTAGGCCAGTCACCTGGGAGCAGTAAGGTATAACAGCTAAGCAGGTATACTGGTTAAGCAAGCAGTCAACTTGGGTTCAAGGCTTGGTTTTGGTATCTATGTGTAAGCTAGGTGACCTTCAGTAAAACTTCTTGGAGCCTTGGTTTTATTCCTCATTTGAAAAATGAGGTTACTGGCTCAGTGCCTGTGGCTCAAGCAGCTAAGATGCCAGCCACATAAACTTGAGCTGGTGGGTTCGAAATCAGCCTAGGTCCGCCAAACAACAATGACAGCTGCAACCAAAAAATAGCCGGGCGTTGTGGCGGGCACCTGTAGTCCCAGCTACTAGGGAGGCTGAGGCAGGAGACTAATTTGAGCCTAGGAGTTAGAGGTTGCTGTGAGCTGTGATGCCATAGCACTCTACCCAGGGTGACAGCTTGAGGCTCTGTCTCAAAAAAAAAAGAAAAGAAAAGAAAAATGAGGTTATTGATGGTCGTGGTGGCTCACACCTGTAATCCTAACACTTGGGAGGCCGAGGCAGGTGAATTGCCTGAGCTCACAGGACCAGCCTCAGCCAGAGCGAGACCTCATCTCTAAAAGTAACTGGACATTGTGACGGGAGCCTGTAGTCTCAGTTACTTGGGAGGCTGAGGCAAGGAATCCCTTGAGCCCAAGAGTTTGAGGTTACTGTGAGCTGTGACACCACAGCACTCTACCAAGGGTGACAAGTGAGACTCTGTCTGAAAAAAAAAAAAAGAAATGAGGTTACGGCTCTGTGCCCATAGCACAGTGGTTGGGGTGCTAGCCCCATACACCTAGGTTGGCAGTTTCGACCCTGGCCCAGGCTTGCTAAACAACAGTGACAACTGCAACAAAAATAGCCAGGCATTATGGCAGGTGCCTATAGTCCCAGCTACTTGGGAGTCTGAGGCAAGAGAATCACTTAAGCCCAAGAGTTTGAGGTTGCTGTGACCTGTGATGCCATT